ATGGAGGACATTAGAAGAAGGAAAGGAAAAGTGAATTGGGGGAAATTGGAGGAGGGAGACGAACCATGAGAGACTGTGGACTCTGAGAAACAAACTGAGGGTTTTGGAAGGGAGGGGGTGGGGTGTTGGGTGAGCCTGGTGGTGGGTATTAAGGAGGGCACCTGTTGCATGGAGCACTGGGTGTTACACCTAAAAAATGAGTCTTGGAACACTACATCCAAAACTAAAGATGTACTATATGGTGACCAACATAACATAATAATAATAAAAAAATATGTGCTCTCTGTTTACAAAAAGAGATGTCACACTGAGTTTATCTGGTATGTTGAATTACCTGGTAGGCATGTCAAATAAGTGATGGTAAGCCTTCTTAGGTTATAATATACAGGTAAGGGGCACCTGGGTGGCTCAGTGGGTTAAGCCTCTGCCTTTGGCCCAGGTCATGATCTCAGGGTCCTGGGATCAAGCCCCACATTGGGCTCTCTGCTCAGCAGGGAGCCTGCTTCCCCCTCGCTCTCTGCCAGCTGCTCTGCCTACTTGTGATCTCTCTGTTAAATAAATAAATAAAATCTTTAAAAAAATAATGTACAGGTAAATGTTATTAACATAAGAATTATAGAAATTTTATGAAATTCCTAAAATTCTGATATTCCCTGGTATAATGTTATCAGTCATAATTGTAGCTATTACCTTAAAATACTGCACACCACAGAAATAACCAGACTTGTCAATTCTGCTACAATGAACTCTCATTATATCTTTAATAATGGGCATCTTAAGTCTTTTGTCAATTACAGTTACTGTATTGCTATGATTCTGGGTAAAAGTGTTCCTGCAAAAGCACTTCCAATCAAGGAGATTTAAGAAAAGGACTTTTGACAAGTGAACTTGTCAAAAACTTGTCAGAAACCTCCAGGTTTCTTATAACCTTAAAGGCCATAAAACTGGGCTGGTTAAGAATTTCCAGAACTAAAGGGAAAACTGGATTTAAGGAGAACAACCACTACTCATATGGAACTGAATAAATGGAGGAGGAGGATTATAATGTTTATGAGTTTTTGTTTGAAACACTGCCTGTTCTGTTTCATTTTTCCAGATTGAAGGAAATCTTTACTCTTTTCCTAAGCTATCAACAATTTGGTAAGATATACCTTTGTGAACAAAGATGAAACAATTGCTTTTTCTCTCTACCTGATCCTTCCACAATTTGGAAACAGTGAATATTCTTATTTTCATGGCAATATAGTTATATACATAACTTCAGGAGGAATCTATTCTCCTTGTGTCTCCAGGACACAACTGCAAATGCCGGTTATATTACCAAGGCTTTGACTGGAATGTCATATTTGAGAAGGATGTGTGAAATTCAGATATGACCAGACAGCTTTAAGGAACTAAGGGTGACTTTATGAAACCAATGAAGCCCCTGGAAAAATTAGCCTGGTACCTTGCTCGCAGGATTCACAGCATTTTTACCAGGTGAGTAAATAAGGTCCTTTCCTGGCAGGCAGAGAAGCCCATGATATTTTCGGGATCTCCAGAAGAAAGGAATTCACTCAAATCTAAAGGTATGGCAGTTTAAGTCTGATGGCCAAGGATTGCCTTTCTGGCTTTAAGAAGTTTTTAAGAACTTCAATCTGAGACTCCTTATGAAAAGTTCCAGCAAAGAGAATTTAAAAAGCCTAAATGGAAAAAAAAAAAAAAACAAAACCTAAATGACCAGTCCCTATTCTCACTGCACTTATACAAGTAATCAAACCAAATTTATTGACACTAGACTTAATCTGCAAACAAATTAGTCTTACTGTTGTTAATCTTCAGTAGACTGTAGAAAGAAAAATTATGTTTCAGTAGAAACCACAGTATACACTTGTGGGTATTAGATTCTACTCCTGCTGTCTTTGAGGTTTTCTTTTCTGCCTATAAATTGGTCTGGATCTTCCTTATTCTACCTTCCTCCAATATTTGGCTATAACTCTCCAAAATAATATTTCCAGTTTTTCTCTCACCCCTCTGACTTGGAATCACTGAGAACTAAAACTGCCCTTTTTTCAAAGTCATGCAACCTAGGCTAGATGCTCTGATAACAACTTCAGAAAAATCACCACAACAGCTCAAGTAGAGATAATCTTCATGCCTCCTGCTATGTGGACCACTCCGAAAGATTACCAAAGACACTGAAACTGCAACAGTAAAACCTATCAGTTTGCTGCTGCCTGCCCTCACTCTGTCTGAAGGTGATTCAAGCTGGAGATCTAGAAATCTTTGTCAACTGGATGCCTTCAGAATGCAAAAACTGGGATTATAATCTGTTCCAATCATTAACCATGATTTATTTCCATAGAAATGTCTTTTATTAAATACCTGATTTCTTGTACCACAGGCCTAACTTGGGAGCCCACCTGCATCACTGCCTCCTGAAATGAGACACAACTGTCTAACTGAACCCATTTATTATTGGGACTAAGAGCCTGGTTCAGTGAGATGGAGCAATCTAGCAGCTTGACTTCTGGACTGTGAAACTTCCTAGGGAAATTTCAAAGACAGGACTGAGAGGAAGTAAAATACATTACCCCAAACTATGCCACTTTGTCATGTGGACTATTGTGAGCTAAAGACAATCTAGACCCAGCAGATTCAAGAAAAACTTTTACCCTTCTCTTAACTATCTAAAAGAATTTAGATACGGGGTCTGGCCCAGAAAGAGAGCTGTTAACAGACATAAGGTTTTAAGAATGACTTCTGTATGCAAGAGTAAACATCTAATGACCAAACGTCCACTCTTCTTATTGTCCTGTGAATTATCCTCCTCCCATTTAAAGCTCCAGACCCCATCCTATTCCCTAGTTCAGGATGGCACATAAGCCTCAATTGCCTGACCTGTCCTTGGATGTCATATTCTTATAGGGCTCTTGTATAGACATAATTAAAATTTTCTCCCATTAATCCGTCTCATGTGAATTTAATTGGTAGATAGGCCAAAAGAATCTTGAAAGGCAGAAGAAAAATTCTTCCTCCCCAATACTAGTAATGAAGGCACTGGAGGGCCAAAGGAACATTCTTCCTTTTTGCCAGATGAGACCTGACCTGTGTAAGCATTCCAGGTCAACTAGGGGATGCAAGGCTTTCTCTATCACAGAAGCTGCGGCAAAGCCTCATTAGTTCTAGACATAGCCTCTCCTAGCTTACATGCTCTGAGGCGCTTCAGGGTTCCAGGCACTGGGCCAAGTGCCGTTCAGTCAACGGTCAAAACCACCCTAATAGAAGGGAAACAAACACTACCTGATTTTATAGATGAATGAGGCTGTTAGAAACCTGGCAGGGCCAGGACAATGCCACCATGCCATGTATCTGTGCTGCCCCACAACACATCTGCGGCCCCACAAGTAACAAAGGGCATATGGTGGTTGGCCTCTAAGGTTGGCCTCATGATGCCACCCCTCAAGGATGTGCATGCTAAGTGAGTTCCTATGCCTGCCCTTGATTCTGGCTGGGGCCTGCTTTCACTAGCAGAATGTGTAAGATATGATGGCATATGATTTCCGGCCAGTCTTCCTTCCTGAGCTGCCAGAGAAGTGCAGGCTGTTCTGCTGGGGGACGCCACGTCAGGGAACACTGAGGTGTAAGACATTCATGCAGCCACCCCAGCTGTCACCATACAAGACTCTAGGGATCCCAGGAGAGGCACTTCCCAGCTCAAGCCTGTGCAATCACAAGATACTGTAATAAAATGATTGCTATTTGCTAGTTTTGACCACTCATTTTAGTGTGTACTTGTGCAACAACAGATAATACAATAGGGAGATGCTTCCTCTGGGGCAAGGAGCTGTCCACACCCTTCTTAGCAGGTGTCACAGCCCTATGTGTCCCAGGTAGGCACTTCATGTAGTTGATGGGTTTAAGGTTAGCCCTCAACAAGCAAATGGGTAACTGCCTTCTTCCTGCCAGCTAAATAGGTGTTATCTGGCCACAAAATGAAAGTTACAAGTGTTTCTGAGACATGGAAATGTTTTTGGTTTGCAATAGAGGAATACCATAATGAGGTTAAACACCAAGATTTGAAATAAGATGTATGTGAAAAACAAAAATTCCAGTCAGAACAACCAGGCCCTTGGAAGAAGTGCAGAGAAGTGGTAGGCCTGTGGAGGGGAGCAGGTGTGGGGCAAGGAGAGGCATGTGGCTGGAGCATATGTATGGGCCCACAGGCACACATCTGGACCAGAGGCATATGTCAAGGCCTTCAGGCCCTGATCGATGTCGTCAGGAAAGACAGGCCATACCACCCTTGGAGCAACGTTCCCCTATTCCCAAACTGGGACACAGTGATCTCCTAAGACCTCCTTAGAGTTCATGTACCTGTTGGCCAGCACCAGGCTTCTCCTCAGCCAGGCCAGTCAGGAATGATCACAGAAGGCCTGGGAGGAAACAACCTGACCTGACATAGACTCCATCTTCAGTTCAATGCCATGTCTGTAGGAAGGGCCGAGTTCATGTTTAATGATCCTTCACAGAGCAAGAGAAGATGGAGGGACATCCTCATAACACTAGAATCTCTGTGAATGAGGGGAAAATTCTCCCCAGCTCCACAGCAGCAGCCCCAGAATCATCTGCTCATGGTCCCTGCTGTACTGTCATAAAGAATAAATTCCCTTCAGATGCTTAAAAACCAGTCCACTCCAAACACAGGGGATGACTAAACAGTTACTTGGTGGCTAAATGACCACAGCTCAGTGTTTGAGAAATGAATTCTCCAGCATCTCTTCCTTTTAAAAAATAACAGCATACATACACAAGTAAAACACATGACCATTTGTCACTCTCATAGTGCCCACTGACACGATGTGGGGTGCATTCTTCCCCACACATCCCTCCTGGGCTCTCCTAGTCCTGCGGAGCAGGGTCCAGTGGGCTGCTATGATGATGGAGGGCAGGGGCACATTTCCTGAAGGGTTCCTCAAGCCTGCTGAGCAAGGAGGACTCTCAACTCTCATTCCACTCACCAGGTTTCCCCTCTATGCCACCCAGAATCGCCAGCCGCGCCGACATCAAACCGAGCCCCAGGTAGCTGTGGAAAGAAAATTCTGGGTGAGGGGCTGGCCTGCCACAGCAACCGCTGGGTAACATCTTCATTCCTGCTTCCAGTTCAACCTGTCCTAAATCCAAAACAAGTGGGAAAGGGAGGAAACCTGTGGCGAGGCAGCAGACTTTCTGCTTCTAGAAGCCTTTCTTTATGGAGGTTAGGGCATTCAGCTCAACAAATGAAAGCCTGTTACTTAATAGGAGCTTGCCTAGGAGCCTCAGATGCCAATGAATGACACATGGCACAAATGTGCCCTGATCTTTTTGGAGTGCATATGCTTTACACCAAGAATCGACTGAAGGTGCCATGTGGTAAACAAATGGACAAGAAAATTCCTGCACAATCCATGGGCTCGTCCCTACCAAAAGAAACCTCCTCCAAAGCAGAACAAAATAAACACACAAAAAAAGAAATGGGATTTTACTGTAGGCAGACTAAAAAATGAAATGGGGAGAAGGCAGGAGGAGAAAGGAACAGCAAGGGAGGAGGAAGTGCTAGAGGGAGAGCCTCCAGCAGTGGGGTTTCCAGGTGCTCTGGGTCACAGCACAGGGCTGGCTGAGCAACAATCCTGGGTGGGCAGCCTCTCCCTCTTCCCCCAACTCCCAAACAAACCTGTAAGAATAGAGCTTGTAGGTCCGATTAAACATCTGGAGTGACGTCAGGTAGCCAGGCGGGGAGGTCTGGAGGGTGTCCTGAAGAAGAACATGAAGGTTATTATCCTTCCTGCTGGTCTTTCTTTTGAAAATACCAGGGTATTCATAGAGGTATTCAATTAAATTAGTTTTTCATTAAGTCACATGTGAAAGAGTTTGAACAAGCAATGAAAAATAAAATGACCAAAATGAAAAAATGTTTTTCCTCCTCCTAACTAACATTTACCATTCTGACAAATATGGCCCAACCAAGACAATTGTGAATAAATTTAAGTACACTTCCACTGTAAACTAAAAATAATAATAAGAAAGTGATGGGTGAGGAATGCACTGTGGTTAGAGCAGCAGACGGTCCAGACTAGAAGCATTTTCATCTCCTTTACAATATCTCATCCCACAGGGCTTGAGGCTCTCTCCCCTTCTAGGAGTAGACTAAGTAATGGCCCCCTCTCTGGCTTGTCCTGGGGGAAAAGGGGACATCGCACATCCTGTGGGTGGCCCTGAGGGTTCTAGGTAGTACCTAATTTATCATCGCACTGAAGATCAACTTTCCATTTCTCCCCCCAGGCAGAATTAAAATCAAGTGAAGGAGCATTAATTGTGAATGAATCTGGTCTTCAGGACAGAAACTGAATGCACAGGCCCAGAGGCACCAGGTTAACGGGCCTTCCCTGAGGGACTACAACTCCTGGTGGCAGGTGGCTTCTGGAGGGTGGGGGCCACAGTGGAGCAGCAAGGGCTGGTTACCTCAACTCTCGGAAGGAAGGTGATCTGAGTGGATCCTCCGCCTAAATCCAGCATGCCCATACTGCTCCTTCCTGGGGTTTTCAAACTGCCTGGAGCAGAGTGAGTAGAAACCAACACAGCACTGTCACATAGTAAATAGATGAGAACAGGTGAAAAAGTACAGCTAGTTTGAGAGCCAAGCCCCACAGTGGAAAGAAAAATAGACAAGCAACTGTGGGTATTTAACAATCTCCATGGAAGGATGCACATGTTGAATGGACGGACATGAATGTGGCTCTGCCAGCTGTGGCTTTAATTTGAACAATGTAAAACAATACTGACCTTCAGCAGAGAATCAATCGGTGCCTGCCTTATCTACTGCTCACCCCCAGGGACACTGACTTCCATCACATCCCTTCATGCCCAGAGGCATGCCTTCCCCCAGCACTGTGCTCCTAATGTGTCCCTTAACATGGCTTTCCATCCCCAAGGGGCAGATTCTGTTACAAAGCTTCTTTCTTTTTCATACATGCATCTCACACACACTGGTCTTTGCCATAATTACAATAAAGGTACAAAAGCAACCTATACTGAGAATAATCTAAGAAAAATGATTCCTTGTCATCTTGTTCCAAGAACACATGTTTCTGTTCCCTCTTCTACCTAGAGAAGAGGAATTCAATTTTAAGGTGAAGAGCATTCCCACCACATTGAATAACTGAAAGTATGACAGGTTTTCTTCATGACTTCCCTTAGAAATGAGAGGACAGGGCCCCTGGCTGAAGCGGATACAGGAAGCAGGAGCTATGCTGTAGAAAGCCAGGCATACAAAAAAGCTCCCTTCCCCAGCATTTTTATCTGGAAGCTTGATATTCGCCCTGATGAGCCCTCACCCAACCTAATGCCCTACTTTGAGCCACTACCACTTCAGAAACCCAAGGGGTTATTTGAAAGAGTAGAAATGAGACCTCTGCCATCAAGAATGGCATCTGTGGACTGTCTGCTTCAGGGAGAGGGAGGAAGAATGTACCTGTTAGGAAGTTGACAGTGATCCACGCTGAAACGCCTACAAGAGAGGGTCATAGACAGCATGTGAATTACCTGAGATGGCTGTAAACAACACATGCACTCAAATGACCACTTTGAGATTCCAGGAGCTCAAAGTGAGCGTCCCTCACTCCTCAGGCTCCAGATCAGCTATAGGAAGAGGCAGTGGTCATCAAGTCACCCAGCAGCTTCTGGCAGACTATTCCAGAAGATGCCATACTACAACACTACAATACTCGGCCAAATGTCACATCTCTCCCTTCTATTCTTTATCATGAACTTCCTCTTTTTGGAAAGAGAATTTTGCTCTCCCTCTCCCCTGGTCATATTTTAAAATCAGGAGCTGGTGAAGAACCTGATGGTCTCTATCTCAGCATTAACAATACAACAGCAAACTTCTAAAATCTGGGGATTCTCTCTAAATGCTCTTAAAGCTGAAAAGAGGATTTGTTTTCAGAAACTTCATCTGTGCCAGGTTTGGAGCTCGTTGAGATGAGAATTTGTCTCTAATACTGGCCCCCCAGAGATCCTCTGAAGACAGTGACACTGTGAATACAATGGGACTGTCACTTTGGTTCTTGCTTGCCCATGTCTGACTGAGGAGAAAGCTCCCACAGCAGCCCTGCACACAGCCTGTCTCCCAGGACAGCCTCATTGCACAGAGAGCTTCTGGAGACCCTACCTTCATCCGTTCCGTTCATGATGGAAACACAGTCATCTCCTACAAGGAAGGGCGATGCCTTAAACACTTCTTTCACCTGAATGTAAAGGGAGACACGCCGTTATCCTTTACAGTCAAAACTCAAAGTTCCCCAATTACACTGTGCTTTCAGCAAGTCATGACAAAACAGCAGAGGGTGTCAGCTGGTGCTGTGAAGTAATAAAATTCATGTTTTATTTTAAATTTCTCAAATCCTCTGCAAGTGATATGCTTATCTACTGCCTGGACTGGTGAGGCAGATGCTACCCTGAAGAAAACCTTCTTTTTAAAATTTTTTTATTGTGTTATGTTAGTCACCATATATCATTAGCAGTGTTCCAAGATTCATTGTTTATGTACCACACCCAGTGCTCCATGCAATATGTGCCCTCCAAAATACCCACCGTCAGGCTCACCCATCCCCCCACCCCTCTTCCCTCTAAAACTGTTTCTCAGAGTCCATAGTCTCTCGTGGTTCATCTCCCCCTCTGATTTTCCCCCTTCACTTTTCCTCTCCTTCTCCTAATGTCCTCCATGTTATTCCTTATGCTCTATAAGTAAGTGAAACCATATGATAAGTGACTCTTTCTGCTTGACTTATTTCACTCAGGATAATCTCCCCCAGTCCCGTCCATGTTGATACAAAAGTTAGGTATTGGGGCGCCTGGGTGGTTCAGTGGGTTGAGCCTCTGCCTTCGGCTCGGGTCATGATCTCAGGGTCCTGGGATCAAGCCCCACATTGGGCTCTCTGTTCAGCAGGGAGCCTGCTTCTCCCTCTCTCTCTGCCTACTTGTGATCTCTCTGTCAAAAAAGTAAATAAAATCTTTAAAAAAAAAAAAAAGTTAGGTATTCACCCTTTCTGATGGCTGGGTAATATTCCATTGTATATATGGACCAAAGCTGCTTTATCCATCGTCTGTTGAAGGGCATCTCAGTTCTTTCCACAGTTTGGCTATTGTGGACATGGTTGCTATGAACATCGGGGTGCATATGGCCCTTCTTTTCACTACATCTGTATCTTTGGGGTAAATACCCAGTAGTGCAAGTGCCAGGTCATAGGGTAACTCTATTTTTAATATTTTGAGGAATCTCCACAGTTTTCCAAAGTGGCTGCACCAACTTTCATTCCCACCAAAAGTGTAAGGGGTTCCCCTTTCTCCACATCCTCTCCAATGTGTGTTTGAAGAACCCTGTTTTAAAGCCACTCTGGGCTAGAAGAGCTCAGGGCCACCTTGAGGCCCCCAAACAGTGCCCTGCTTTAGACTGGAGATGAGATTCCAGAATCTCCTCAAAGCAGAGCTCAGCCTGGGACCCAGGAGATGGCCCTGTAGCCAGGAGGTAAGGCAGTGAGCAGCAGCATTTGGGTGCACTTCCTTCTCCATTTTTTAGCAAGTACTGACACACAGAAACTTCAGTACATCTGCACATCCCAACTACACCTGTGACCTACAATCAGACTTGAGCATGTAAAGGTAACTTTTACAAGGGACCTTGACCAATGTACAACATTTCATCATTTAGCAGCTGCATAGTTTAGAAACAGTACTAATGATGAAAAGCAGTTTCCCTAATGGGCCTGACAACAAGAACTATCCAGGCACTTGTAAGAAACAGGGTTTATGGTTTTTTTGCAGGGCTGCCGCTAGGCTTGGTGGCAATTTGGGCCATGTGAGAGTCAGATCCTTGCATGGGTAGGGTAAAGGCCTCCTCAGCAGTTACATCTGTGGATCAGACCAAGAGAAGAATTGGCAGTTACCATGAAAACATGCAGCCTGGAAATGAAGCATCAGGAACTCAGGCTTCTATAGCCCTCTACAAGGATCTAGTCTCTGCATAGGGGGAAGCCCTTCAAAAGGCCTCAACACATACTTAAAGTTACCGTTATTACGTAACAAGGTTCATTATAGAAAACAGGAACAGCTAAAGGTGATGCTGTTAACATTTTGATGTGTTTTCCTCTTCAGGAAGCTTCTACATAGCCCATTTGACTGCTCAGACACTGGCTGAGTATCTGGTGTTTTCAGTTATCCTAAGCTATCCACCACCACCCCGCCCCCCCCACCCCCCGCCCCGGGGGAAATGGGTAAAATCACCTTTTGCAGTAACTTTTGAGCCTTTTCTCCTGGTAACAGACGTAAACCAGCTGTGGCCTTGAGGACCAAGGGGGTGGCCTTCCAGAAGTCAAAAGGAACATCCTGTTTAGCAACATCCAGCAATTCCTGAATTCCTGAAGTGCTCTGTGAATGTGGTGAAAGTAGGGTCTGTCAAAGCTCAGCATACAGGGTCACAGATGCTCCCCAACCCTTTTGGCTTTATTAACTTACAAACACATCCTCTTCTAACTTTCCAAATTGGCAGAAAACAACTCAAGTGATGCTCGTGAGTGTGAGGGGTATAGGGACCAGGCGAGTACAGAGCAACACTCCTGGCAGTGGTACATGATGGGGTGAAGACACATAAGAGGGTTCTGCTATTCTAAACTCTGGCAACCAAAACCCTGCCTAGCCCCATCACCAACCCTCACCAGACAATCTCAGATGAGCTGTGACTCCTCTGGACATCATGAATGAATCCTGGGGTTCCTCATGGTGCTGAAAACCCCAAAGGAATCATCTATACCTGCCAGAATGCTTGAGATCCAAAATTGGCTAAGGCCCTGTGTCAGTGCAAAGGTGGGAAAACAACTTTGGTAAAGTACTTCTGGATATTACCAACAGCTACAAAGCTGAGGGAACAATTTGGCAATGCCTGCCCAAGGAGAAAACGTACATTCCTCTTACTCAGAATCTCATTCTATGAATTCATCTGAGATGGATGCCCTTATATATGTGGGTAATGAAGTTCAATAAGGTGACAAACTGTAGCCTTTCTCAGACATTACCTGAATGTCCTTCAGGGGAGGACTGGTTCCCATAAATTCAATGTGCCCGTACACACTGCAATATCATTGCCAGAAAAATAAAGAAAGCTCTTCTCATTCTGATAGTAAATACTTTCTATGTTATATTGTTGAGTAACACAAGTAAGTACGTGACAACATGAATACCATTCTATTGTTTATGTGAAATAAACAGGGGAAGGGGAAGAATACAGATGAATTTGCTCATAGGTTATGTCAACAAGCCCTTGAAAGACATAAGAAATCAGGGGGCACCTGGGTGGCTCAGTGGGTTAAGCCTCTGTCTTCAGCTCAGGTCGTGATCTCAGAGTCCTGGGATCGAGTCTCGCATCGGGCTCTCTGCTCAGCAGGGAGCCTTCCCGCTCTCTCTCTGCCTGCCTCTCTGCCTACTTGTGATCTCTCTTCTCTGTCAAATAAATAAATAAAATCTTAAAAAAAAAAAAAGAAACCAGGATCAACAGACCTCCTAGGGAAGACTGGAGCAGGAGGAGCACTCTCACCACCTGCCCTGTGAAGCAGTGAAATATGTCCCACTTGAATATGCATCGCCTAAAACGACTAAGGTTTTAAAAATCTTCTGAGTTTATTCTAAAGCTAACTCACGTGTAATATTATAGTTACTCTAACATCACTCATTTTGATTTTTGTTTTCAACTTGTTTTTTAACCAAGCCACAGGAAAGCAGGCCTATGAATTTACTGTCTAAGATCAAGATGGACCTGTGCGCAAGAATGTATTACCTTTTCTTTTTTTAAGATTTTATTTATTTATTTGAAAAAGAGACAGAGTACAAGCAGGGGTAGAGGCAGAGGGAGAAGTAGGCTCCCCACTGAGTGGGGAGCCTGACATGAGGCTCGAACCCATGACCCCAGGATCATGCCCTGAACTGAGCCACTCAGGTGCCCTAATGTATTAGCTTTGAAGACATACTTGACTCAAAAGGAACTTGTAGCTATGTTACTACCCAGTCCATTTCATCAGCGCCTTAGCAGAAATACAGGTGTCCTGTACTAGTGCAGCTGTAAGCTTTAAGGAGTTGAGAAGTATAAAAGTTACAAATTTATAAAAATCATTATTGGACAGTTTAAGTAAATCACTTTTATTTGGTTTTGTGGATTTTTGCAAAACACATTTTAAGTTCAATTTTTTTGTCAACTTTTGTCATCTTCAGTTGAAGGAACTGGAACAAAAACAATTAAACCCTCAAACACTGCTTTTTTGTCAGTTTGTAGCCTTTGTGTTTTTGAACTGCACCAAGACTTCTGTGTGGCATGCCTGGTGGTTGGGGGAAGGGCCCGGGAAGCTGGAGTGTGGGGGAAGGTGGTGGGGTAGGGGTAGTGGTCCTCCTTTGGCCCCATGCACTGTACCAGTTTCCCCCATCTGACTATCCTAAATAGCATGAAATGTTTCAGGGCAGCACCATCAGAGATGCTTTCCTCTGCAAAGATCAACACACTCAAGAGAAAGGGAATTGGCTTTAACAAACTGCAGAGTTGGAAAACAAATCTGAAGAACAAATAGACCTGAGAGAAAATCATTACCTTTTCAACATCATCAGCATAAGCAGAAAGACCTGGCTTCAGTGCTTTGAATGTCTCATGCGTCAAAGTGGGAGTTTCTAAGAGGAAAACATGTTTAAAAAAAAAAAGTACAAGTGTGAACACATATATATGAATATATGAATATATACAATTATGGCTAGCCACCCTTTTTAAAGGCAAATGTCTGAAATCAGACCAATTCCAAAGTGACCGGAACACTGCCTCTTTAGCCCAGATAAACAAAATAAGCATTCTACCTGATGCTTTGGTCAGAACTTTTTAAAAAAAAAACCAACTTTACTGAGGTATGATTTACATATAAAACTATATCCATCTAAACTGCTGAATTTTAATATGGTTAATTCTTGTTACATTGACTGAGGAGCAGGGCAGATGATTCTAAACTGCAAATATAAAATTTATTTTTCTATCCTGGGATGGGTGTAGTAGGTTCTAAAGAACATTTTTTTTCCTCTTCGTTTAAAAAAACAGTTGTCCTAAATTATGAAGGCCCTCGATTCATGTGCATACAGCAGGGGACTGTTTAGAGGCACATTGGTGGCCAAGGGATGTTGGCCTGAATTTGGACATGAAGACCCAGGAGGAAAAATCAGGGACAGAACTTTTTGAAAGGAGGTCTCTTTAGAGATAAAACACTGGACTATGGCTATTAAAGGATTACATGCTGACAAGTTGTCTTAAAAGCTTAAAAACCATTTTTGGAGGTAGGTAGGTCTGGCAGATAAAAACTCAACTACTGAACTGAGTTAAAAGATAAAGCAGATGAAAAGTAAAACATGACAGCTCTGGAGAGAGCTACTAACAGTGTCTGTTGCCACCAGCTCTGTTAAATGCCCAGAACAGTGTCTACTCAAAAGGTATTGAGGGTCAGCAAAGAACTAGCTATGGCCGATGGACCTACTGAGCAGTCAGGGGCAAAACACTCACAGGCTAGAAGCTGGAGGGTGACTCTCAGAGCAGGAGGGTACAAGAGGTGACAGGAAAGGAGATCAAAGGGAGAAAGGACAGAGTACAGAGCTGCACAATGGACTGGATCTCCCCACAGAAGCAGCTACGGGGAGAACACACATAAACTCCCTCCACCCTAGTGCTGGAAGCCTGCAGACCCCCATCCGCAGTTTATAACGCAGGTTATAACGGGGCTCAGGCTCCAGCTCCCTTCTCACTGCTGAGGCCACTCTCATCTGTCACTCTGATTGGACCCACTGGGCTGCACCGTGTCAGTCTAGGTCCCAGCTCCTTGGCTAGTTCATGACTTTCCCAGACTCTGCCTCATACTAGCCCAAGTCAGGGGCAACTTTCTGCCTTAAACTCTCTCAATGCAGCTTCTGGCCTAAGTCATGATCCTGGCCACCTGATCTGCTGCTGAATGCTGGGATTAGACAGCCTTAGATTAGCCACCTAACACCCTCAGGGATCTCAGATGCCTTCAGGTGGTCACCAGAAGCTACTGTGAGTAAGGACAGTCAGGAAGTCCTGGGAAACTTAGATTCCTGGGCCCCAACCCACACCTGAACCAGCCTCTCTGGGAACCTGTATTTTTGACAAGCTTCCAGAAAGACCTGGCTTCAGTGCTTTGAATGTCTCATGCGTCAAAGTGGGCGTTTCTAAGAGGAAAACATGTTTAAAAAAAAAGTACAAGTGTGAACATATATATGAATATATGAATATATACAATTATGGCTAGCCCAGTCCGAGGCAGGGCATCCAGCCTAACCACTGTGCTGTAAGTGAAAGAGATCCCAAGAGCTCTGCTGTGAGTGAAGAGATCCTAGCAGTGAGAAGCCAAGGCACTCTACCCAGCATACCTCCAGGTTGCCGGCTGAACTGGAAGATGTGGACGCGGGTTCCAGTGCTTCCTGCATCAAACATGATGCCGTAGAAAACTTCATGACCATGTGCAGCTGTCCCTGGGGCACTGTGAGCCTGGTGGCCCCTCCGGGCCCCTGATGCCACCTCAGTGATGCTGAAGAAGGCCTGGGTAGCAGAGGCCCAGTGCCACTTGATGTAGGCGACATAGATGAACAGGCATATGAACAGCCCCAGGGGGTACGCCACCTTTGTCATCTTCAGGTTCCCATTATTTGGTATTTTTCTCATTTCTCTGTCTGCTGAGGACTGTGCTGCAGCTGCTGAAGGGAAGGCAGGAAAGACATGTTAGGATACACGCTTCTGGGGCAAGTCAGAAGTCCCTGTGCTTAGGGACAAAACGTTCAGCCAGAAACTGAATCAGAAGTTTCATTCAGTTCTCAAAGTGCTTCCAGAGTTATGAGCCCAATTTACAGAAGAGAACAGAAACTGGAGTTTACAAAGACTAGAAAACCTGTTCGAGGCAGCAGGTCCTGGAGGGTCTGACTTGGGGCACAGACCCACAACTGATGGCTCTAAAGCCTGAGCCTGGACTCCAGCAATTAATGTTCCAGACTAGTGGTTTTTGGACTTGTTGCCACTTTAAAAAGCCACATGTAAATGGTGTCCCCAAACTTTTCAAGGTACACAAACACATGTCCAATCAATTTTTTCAATTCTCCCTTCCTCTTCTATATAGATATTCAATTCTTAGAAGGCTTAAAGTCTCATCCCTTGGGAACTACAGAGAGCCCCAGCCACATCTGAGAAACACAGCTCATTTTCCTGTAAGTTTCACAGATGTCTCTTTTCACTCAGGTACTACACTCTGCCAAGGAGGAAATAATGCCTGTGTGCTTTCCAAGCTTATGAAAATCCTACCTGAATATCAAAAGAACAAACTCAGCACCACTGTCTTTGTTCAATGCCCCCTGTGCCCCCAAATGAATGCATTTGTTTGGGCTTTCTTAGCAGCTTCTGATGTAAGACACCATGCTTCAAAGTTTGGAGAGAAAACAGTGGAATATGGCTATAAAAGGATTATGACAACCCAAGGCTTCAAATGACAAGTGGGGTACCTGATTCTCAGGGATCCCCTACCCTTGGGGAATGTCCACCTGTGTCCATCCCTGACTCTGTTAGTTGTGGCAAATGGAGTGGACTCTCCTAGAGGTAAGGAGACAGGAAAGTGCCATGTTGAAAGAAAGGCACATAACAGACCAATATCCCTGACAAACATGGATGCAAAAATTCTCACCAAAATACTAGGCAATAGGATCCAACAATACATTAAGATCCAATAATACAGGGAGAGAGTGGTGGGTGGGGTTATAGACATTGGGGAGGGTATGTGCTATGGTGAGTGCTATGAAGTGTGTAAACCTGGCGATTCACAGACCTGCACCCCTGGGGCTAATAATACATTATATGTTTATAAAAAAATAATAAAAATTATTAGAAAAAAGATCTAACAATACATTAAGAAAACTGTTCACAAAAAAAAAAAAAAAGAAAGAAAGAAAGAAAGAAAAAGAAAAAGACTGTTCACCACAACCAAGTAGGATTTATTCTTGGGCTGCAAGGTGGTTCAACATCTGCAAATCAGTCAAGATACATCGCAATAAAAGAAAGGATAAGACCCATACAATCCTCTCAATTGATGCAGAAAAAGCATTTGATAAAATACAGCATCCTGGGGCACCTGGGTGGCTCAGTGGGTTAAAGCCTCTGCCTTCGGCTCAGGTCATGATTCCATGGTCCTGGGAAAGAGCCCCGCATCGGGCGGGGTGGGGGGGGGGGGGTCCATGCTCAGCAGGGAGCCTGCTTCCCTTCCTCTCTCTCTGACTGCTGCTCTGCCTACTTGTGATCTCTGTCAAATAAATAAATAAATCTTTAACAAACAAAAAACAAAAAACAAAAAAAAAACCAAAATACAGCATCCTTTCTTAAAACTCTCCACAGTGATAAAGGGAATATACCTCAATATCATAAAAGCCACTAATGAAAAGCCCACAGAGATTATCATTCTCAATGGGGAAAAACTGAGAGCTTTTCCCCTGAAGTCAGGAACACGACAGTGATGCCCACTCTCAACTACTGTTGTTCAACATAGTGCTAGAAGTCCTAGCCTCAGCAATCATAAATAAAAAGAAATAAAAGACATCCAAATCAGCAAAGAAGTCAAACTCTCACTCTTTGCAGATGACATGATATTCAATGTGGACAACCCAAAAGACTCTAACCAAGAATTGCTATAACTCATACAGGAATTCAGCAAATCAGCTGCATTTCTATAGACTAACAATGAGACAGAACAAAGAGAAATTAAGGACTTAATCCAAATTCTAATTGCACCAAAAACTGTAAGATACTTGGGAATAAACCTAACCAAAGAAGAAAGGACTTATACTCTGAAAACTACAGAACACTTATGGAAGAAATTGAGGAGGACACAAAGAAATGGAAAAACATTCCATGCTCATTGCAATACTGGGTATATACCCCAAAGATACAGATGTAGTGAAAAGAAGGGCCATCTGTACCCCAATGACAGGCTACAGAACATGTCTCAATATATATTTTTAATTAACATACAATGTATTATTCGCTCCAGGGGTACAGGTCTGTGAATCATCAGGCTTACACATTTCATAGCACTCACCATAACACATGCCCTCCCCAATGTCAATAACCCAGCCCCCCTATCCCTACCTCTCCACTCCCCAGCAACTGTTTGTTTCATGAGATTAAGAGTCTCTTATGGTTTGTCTCCCTCTCATCTTGTTTCATTTTTTCCTTCCCTACCCCCAATAAACCCCTGCCCTGCCTCTCAAATTCCTCACATCAGAGATCATATGTAACTATCCTCCTCTGATTGACTTATTTCACTCAGCACAATACCCTCTAGTTCCATCCATGTTGTTGCAAATGACAAGATTTCATTTCTTTTCTTTTTTTTTAAGATTTTATTTATTTATTTGACAGACAGAGATCACAAGTAGGCAGAGAGGCAGGCAGAGAGAGAGGGGAAGGGAAGCAGGCTCCCTGCTGAGCAGAGAGCCCGATGCAGGGCTCAATCCTAGGACCCTGGGATCGTGACCTGAGCCGAAGGCAGAGGCTTTAACCCACTGAGCCACCCAGGCGCCCCAAGATTTCATTTCTTTTTATGGCTACATAGTATTCCGTGGTGTGTGTGTGTGTGTGTGTGTGTGTGTGTGTGTATATATATATATATATATATATATATATATATATATATATCTCACATATTTTTTATCCATTTATCTGTTGTTGAACACCTAGGCTCTTTCCACAGTTTGGAGATTGTGGACATTGCTGCTATAAACATTTGGGTGCACATGTCCCTTCGGATCACTACATTTGTATATTTAGGTTAAATACCCAATAGTGCCATTGCTGGGTCATTGGGTAGCTCTATTTTCAACTTTTTGAGGAACCTCCATGCTGTTTTCCAGAGTGGCTGCACCAGCTTGCATTTCACCAACAGTGTAGGAGGGTTCCCCTTTCGCCGCATCCTCGCCAGCATCTGTCATTTCCGGACTTGTTCATTTTAGCCATTCTGACTGGTGTGCGGTGGTATCTCATTGTGGTTTTGATTTGTATTTCCCTGATACTGAGTGATGTGGAGCACTTTTTCATGTGTCTGTTGGCCACTTGGATGTCTTCTTTGCAGAAATGTCTATTCATATTTTCTGCCCATTTCTTGATTGGATTATTTGTTCTTTGGGTGTTGAGTTTGCTAAGTTCTTTATAGATTTTGGATACTAGCCCTTTATCTGATATGTCGTTTGTGAGTATCTTCTCCCATTTTGTCAGTTGTCTTTTGGTTTTGTTGACTCTTTCCTTTGCTGTGCAAAAGGTTTTGATCTTGATGAAGTCCTAATAGTTCATTTTTGCCCTTGCTTCCCTTGTCTTTGGCGATGTTCCTAGGAAGAAGTTGCTGTAGCTGAGGTCGGAGATTGCTGGCTGTGGTCTCCTCAAGGATTTTGATGAATTCCTGTCTCAGAATGAGGTCTTTCATCCATTTTGAATCTATTTTTGAGTATGATGTAAGGAAATGGTCCAGTTTCATTCTTCTGCATGTGACTGTCCAATTTTCCCAACACCATTTGTTGAAGAGACTGTCTTTTTTCCATTGGGCATTCTTTCCTGCTTTGTCGAAGAATTAGTTGACCATAGAGTTGAGGGTCTATTTCTGGGCTCTCTATTCTGCTCCATTGATCTATGTGTCTATTTTTGTGCCAGTACCATACTGTCTTGATTACTGCTTTGTAATAAGGCTTGAAGTCTGGAATAGTGATACCACCAACTTGTTTTTCTTTTTCAACATTCCTCTGGCTATTTGGGGTCTTTTCTGGTTCCATATAAATTTTACCATTATTTGCTCCATTTCTTTGAAAAAAAATTGATGGTATTTTGATAGGGATTGTGTTAAATGTGTAGATTGCTTTAGGTAGCATAGACATTTTCACAATATTTGTTCTTCCAATCTGTGATCATGGAACATTTTTCCATTTCTTTGTGTCTTCCTCAATTTCTTTCATGAGTACTTGACAGTTTCCTGAGTATAGATTCTTTGCCTCTTTGGTTAGGTTTATTCCTAGGTGTCTTATGGTTTTGGGTGCATTTGTAAATGGGATCGACTCCTTACTTTCCTTCTTCTGTCTTGTTGGTGTATAGAAATGCAACTGAGTTCTGTGCATTGATTTTATATCCTGACACTTTACTGAATTCCTGTATGCGTTCTAGCAGTTTTGGAGTGGAGTCTTTTGGGTTTTATGTAGAATAAAGTATCAAATCATCTGCAAAGAGTGAAAGTTTGACTTCTTTGCTGATTCAGATGTCTTTAATTTATTTTTGTTGTCTGATTACTGAGGCTAGGACTTCTAGTATTATGTTGAATAGCAGTATAGCAGATATCCTGCTATATAGCAGATATCCCCATAGCAGATATCCCTGCTATGATCCTGACCTTAGGGGAAAAGCTCTCAGTTTTTCCCCATTGAGAATAATATTCACTGTGGATTTTTCATAGATGGCTTTTATGATATTGAGGTATGTATCCTCTATCCCTACACTTTGAAGAGCTTTGATCATGAAAGGATGCTGTACTTTGTCAAATGCTTTTCAGCATCTATTGAGAGGATCATATGGTACTTGTTCTTTATTAATGTATTGTATCACATTGATTGATTTGTGGATATTGAACCAAACTTGCAGCCCAGGAATAAATCTCTCTTAGTTGTGGTGAATAATCCTTTTA